TTCCATTTAATCCACCCAATCTTTCTCCTTCCTGGCCCACAGCCCCCCATTCTAGAAGGGGGAAAGAAATGTGGCAAATTCCCCAATGCTCTTTTCCAAAAAGATCAACTCAGGTTTTGAGCAGGGGTACAGTGTGTAGGGAGCAAGTTGCCAACACAAGGAGGGAAGTTCCCACTCTAGTAGCCATAGGGGTAGGGAATGGATGGGGTAGGGATGGAGCATACCAGGTCAACAAACTACAAGTAACCTTACCTCCATGTACCAGGGCAAGAATAGGCCTTCTATCTAGATAACATGGGCAGTGGAACCTTGAGATAGAGTGTATGTGTGGCATGGAGTGGGGGTGGGGGATACGACACAGAGGTCACTGCAAGGGGATCTCAAAAAGGGATCACAATAAAATTGATTTCATAGTAATGATCTCGGGGCAAAGGGGGGGGGGGAAATCCCATCATTTCCCAGCAGACCGAGACACCTGGAAAGGAGCGGTGTGGCAATCATTCTAGCAACCAGAGCACAGGCCCCGCCCCCAAGAGCCAAGGCTCTTTATTTCCCCATCCACACGCAGAAGTCTCCGCCCCTTTTTCTCAGTGGTCCTCAGATTCCAGTGTTTTTCCATTCTCTTGGAGTGAATTCATTGAATTCACTCAGGACCTTTCCAATGCTTGCAATCAGGGCTTTACCCGCCTGGCCTTCTAAGCGGTTGCTCTAAGCCCTCTCAGGCCGTTTCAGACGTCAGGAGACTTGCGCCACCTGCTGGCCGGCAGAGTTGCAGGGAGGCTGTGCGCAGAGGGGTTCTGTTTTGTCTTCTCTGGGACGTGGAGTTTTGGAAAAAGTTCCCCGGAGCTTCCTGAAGCTAAATTTACCTTCCCCGGCCCTGGGGGGCGCAGAGATCCCAGCGGCGATTAGCGCTGCGCGGCAGCGAGCTCCAGCCGAGAAGCCCAGAATAGGAGCGGAGTTATAAATAGAGCTACCCGCAGGTGTGGGGGGAGTCGGCGGGAGGGGGGTACCCCTGCCAGCCACGGCCCCTTCAGGTGGGTTGGGCGGTCGCAGTGGGGTTCTGGGGGGCGGCGGGCGGGAGGGGCTGCGGTCTGAGCGCCCCCAGCGGTTTCCTGGGCGGCGGGTTTTTCGAGGGAAGCGGAGGCAGCCGCGGGAAGGGGGGGCAGCGGGGAAGAGGTGGGCGCCGGGCGCAGGCAGAGGCGCTACTTTCTGCTCAGCCCCCCACATTCCGAAACAAGCCCCCAGACTCACTTTAGGACCCCGCCAAGGCAGACTCTCGCCTCCCTAGCCGCCAGCCGCACTTTCTCCAGGGCTCTCTGCAAGGGTGTAACTTCTAAGCTGTGAATCCCTCGACGCACGTGGGCCAGCCGGTCCAGGCACCTGGCCACTCTGGAGTCGCTGTCCCCAGCCGTAGGTTTAAAGTTTTATCCTTCTCAGGGCAAACATCCCACTCTCGGGGTATTTATTTACTCACCTACTACTTTTCTCAAACATTAAAGGCTAGAATCTAGATAGTTGCCCGAAGATTTAAGTCTGAGCGTGCGGATCTGGGGTGCTCGCCAGTCCCCAGGGAGCCTTTGCAGGCCCCATATTTCCCCAGTCCCCGATACCAGTCCAGGTGTATGGGGGGCGGGGAAGCAACGCTTCTCGGCCTCTTCTGCCTCAGTGGTTTGGCAGGTTTAGGGCCCAAAGTTGGGGGTAGGCAGGTATTTCAAGTCCGGATTTACCCGCTTGGAACACGAAAGGTTTTGTACCACAAGAAAAATAAAATCCGGGAAAGAGCCACTGAAGAACTAACAGTAGGCTCCAGGACTGCTGGCATCGAAGTGGGGAGTGGCAATTCAGCCGCAGAAAGATTTAGGTTGTGTCCAGCCAGACGCGACCCCAGCGATAGGGGAGGGGACGAACAGAGCAGTTTGCACGTGGGTTCCCAAGGACTAGGCGCTCGCCCTTCTGTAGTCTCTGGAGGCCCTGGACCACTTTCCTTACCCCCCTCCCCAGTCCTCGTCGAAGGCCTTGTAACCCTGCTGGTGAAAGCAGTTTCCTTTCCTTTTTACTTAACTAGCACTGGTGCCTTGTCCCTGGCCCATTCCCAGTTCAGTTTGATCCTGACAGCAGAAGAAAAAAATCCTGGTCCCGACACTACAAGCTCCAGATCCTTCCGACCCGAATCAGTCCAGCGAGGCGGAGAAGAAAACCTGGAGCGGTGACCAGCCTAAGGACCCTAGGGGGATAGGGAGGCTAGGAAAACCTGGAGCGGATTGCTCCACACGGAGCACGCTGTGCCTACTGCTTGCTACCCCTTCGTTTCTATTGCCCTCCTAATTCTCCAGTGAGATAATGTCTGGGGTGGGGGGCTGTTTGGTTTGGCCTGAGCCCTCTGGGGCGCCTCACACTTTCCGCCCCTGGCTGGGGAGCAGGGCAGCGGCCCCGAGGCTGAGTCACGGCGAGGGGAGAAGGAGAAAGAGGGAGGGAAGGACCCGACTCCTCCCCTCCCCCTGCGTGGGGATCCCGGGTCAGCCCGGGTGAGGGCCAGGGCCCCCCTGGCGCCGCCCATTGTGGTCCAACAGGTTGAGCTGGTGTCCTGCGGAGCCACCTGCTGGAAAGGGAGGGAGGCCCCCTGCGGAGGGGGTAGGGAAAGGCGAGCAAGTCCGACCCGGTTCGGCCTGGCGGGCTGCAGCGAAGTCAAACCTGGGCCGTGGGAGCCGGATTTGAATCCGTTGGACACTAGTGGGAGGGGCCCTTTGGGGTACGCAGCACCGCAGGCCCAGCTGGAAGTGTCCCTCACCGGCTACCTATGGCGGGGGCACTGAAATGCGGATGCTCCGTCTCCCCAAACCCACATCAACATGCATACTAAGACGCGCGGGCCGCTAGCGCCACTTGGGTGTCTTAGTGAATCCGTGTTCTGACGCCCCTTCTTCGTGGAGACTCAGTTTCTTCAACACGGGAACCGGCGGGATGGAAGCTGTGAGCCGCAGTCCGAGCCGGAGCGCACCACCCCTTCCCCCACTGGGTCCCTCCCCTCTGACAATGCCAAGGCTGCAACGGCACCGGCTGGAGCACAGAGGCTCCTGGCCCCGGCACTGTTCCCTCCCCGCGGGGCGCTGTCACGCGTGCGGAGGGACGCCGGGTTCCCGCAGCTTCAACTCCCCCATTCTTCCAGAGGGAGTTACGAGGGGCCGGAACTGAATAGTGACCTTCCTCCCCCTCCCTCCTGGGGCTCTGACCTGATTCTAGCCCCTCACGGGACCCCACTCTCTTAAAATCCTAGGTCTTCATCCTCACGCAGCCTACCCTTAACCTCTCCTACTCTTCCCTCCCGGGATGCTGACCCCACAGAAGCCCCTCTGGAAGTGTTGGAAGCCTCTGAGGGGGCTGCTCCAGTCCC